ATAATGTCCACTCAATGAGACTTTTATTCCCTTAATTCTATTTTTGTGTTATGTCTGTCACCAAAACACATAGATGGAGATGTATGTTATTCTTTTTGTGTTTATAATTTGGATTAAGGTCATTTTTTAATCTTGTATTATGAGTTTAAGATGATATTTTTCACTACAAATCATAGAAAAAGAATTAATTATTGTAATTATGAAACTCTCATTCTATCTAATCTTAAATATAACTCATTTACTGTAGGTTGGCAACCTTTTTGACTAAATTAAGATTATGAAAAAATAATTAATTATTGTAGTTACGAACCTTCATTCCTTCTGGTAAATGAATATGATTCATTCATTGCAATGTGTCTTTTTTTTTTTTTAATATAGGCACTGGAGTAGCGTACATTCAATTAGCCTTTTTTTTTTGTTTTTTCTTCATTTATGTTAATTGTATTTATAAAATTCATTCCTTCGGAATTCTAAATATTACTCATTCATTGCAGGTATACCAGATTTAGCACTGCATCTGTCAGTTTTTCTAGTTTGTAAGTAATAATGTCTACTCAATGAGACTTTTATTCCCTTAATTTTATTTTTGTGTTATGTCTGTCAGCAAAGCACATAGATGGATGTATATATTATTCTTTTTGTGTTTATAATTTGAATTAAGGTCATTTTTTTATCTTGTATTATGGGTTCAAAGTAATATTTTTCACTACAGATCATAAAAAAAAAAAAAAATTAATTACTGTAATTATGAAACTCTCAGTCTATCTAATCTTGAATATAACTCATTCACTGTAGGTTTGGCCGTCTTGTTGGCATTCATAATCCCGATTGTGATCCTACAGTACCTTGTTATACTGATCACTGGTAAGCAATAGGCAACAACATATCCACTCAATGAGCATACACATTTTAACTAACGGTTATAAAGGCAATAAATTGCAATTGTGAAACTCATTCTTTCTGATCCTAAATATATAACTCATTCATTGTATAGTGGCGCTACGCATTCTGGTTTCAATGCTCTCAAGTTACTTTGGTAAGAAATACTACGTCTACTAATCAATGAGCCCTTTTCTTTTCTTCATTTTTATTCTATATCTTGATTTTTCTTTATACTAAAGGTTTTTTTTTTTTCTTTTGTTATTAGAAACACATTTATATCAGCTAAAGTTGATGGATATGTATGCCCGTCAGGTTATACATTTAATTTGTGATCGGTCATTACCAGAATTAGATCAAAGTAAAGCAGTGGAAGCAACCTTCCAGGCGATCCAGAATGGCATCCCAGACATTGTGAAAGAAATTATAAAAGCTAATGCAAATAATGTATTATTGTGCAACAAAGATCCTGAAGATCCATCAAGAAACATATTTGCTTGTGCTATAGCACATCGTCAAGAGGAAGTGGCACACCTTCTTTATAAATCTCAAAAGGAGAAGAACATGCTTTTTGCCATCGATGAAGATGGAAATAATATATTACATCTCGCAGCAAAGTTAGCTCCTAACTATCAATCGGGTTACATCTATGCTGCAGCTTTACAATTGCAAAGTGAATTACGTTGGTTCAAGGTAAATATCTTTTATTTTTATTTTTTTAATTAAGTAATGAGAAAACTTATATTATTCCTTATTCATATACTATTCTTTTCTAGTATATGTTATTTTTTATACTATGAATTGTATATCAAATTAATTTCATAAAATTTCAATTTCATCATAAAGATATATCTTATTTGTCCGGACTCTTGTATCTTGTCAATGAAAATAAGTTTATTTCAATTGAGATAACTAATCTTACTGATTTTTTATTTGATGAAAAAATATTCGCATTTTAATCTTTTATATTTATCTAACTCCAAATTTTTTTTTATATATATATATATATATATAATGATAGACTATATATTATTTATTAGCTTCTCACTTAGCATCTATAATATTATGAAACAATTGCAGTCAGTAAAAGAAATTGTTCCAGTAGCCTACAAAGAAGGCAAAAATAAAGACAATGAAACCCCCTCGGAAGTGTTTGTTAGAGAACACAAGGATTTGCTAAAAGAAGCAGAAGAATGGGTGAAGAAAACAGCAGAATCTTCAACAGTCGTTGGTGCTCTTATTATTACAATTATGTTTGCAGTGGCTCTTACTGTTCCTGGTGGGAATGATCAAATTACAGGTTTTCCCGTACTTTTGCACAAAACTCCGACACCGTTTATGATATTTATGGTATCAGATGCAATTTCTCTTTTTACTGCGACCAGTTCAGTGATAATGTTTTTGGGGATTCTGACTTCACATCATTCTGATGAAGATTACCGCAAAACCTTTCTCTTGATTATCGGCCTTACTTCACTCTTCGTATCTATTGCAACAATGACCACAGCATTTTGTGCTGCTCTTTTCATGATGCTACAAGGTCAAGGTGGATTGGGGTTTGTCATTCCTATAACTCTGTTTGCTGGTATTCCTATCGTATGCTACGTGTTGTTGCAATTTCCTCTTCTGGTTGAGATTTTGGGTTTGACTTTTAGCTCAAACATCTTTGGTACGAAAAGAATATCGTCGATGATCTGGACAGCAGAGAGTGTCACTAGGGGGATGAGGAACTTGAGGGGTTGAGGACAGCGGTAAAAAGTTCTTGCAATTTCTAGTGATGCCAGTGAATTAGTCACTTAAATGAATGTTGCTTTGAATAAATTTTTTTTTTTTTAATACATGCGTTTCGCTTTGAATAAATGATTGTTGTCATGGATGTCAAACTATGCTTTGACCGTTGGTCAAAGTTGGTGATTGATTAGGCTTCTGTATTTGCCACAGTTGTAATAAATATTTGGTGGATATATAGTATATTTTTTCAAGAGTATACATTTATTTATAAACATTTGGAGATTTAAATAGTAATTATTTTTGAGACCATGCCACTGTGGACTAACAGAGTACCCAGTGAACTGCATCAAATTACTTTGATGACCAAGCAGCCAAATCCTAAACCCCGGGGAGCTGTAGCAGATGAAGAATAAACAAAAGTACGTAGTTGCTAGAAATGCCAGCTCTTTTAAAGATAAAGTCTACGTTAGATTCTGGTGAAGAATCTCCAGCAAAGCCTAAAGAAGGAGAAGCTGTGGTGATTCTGGTGAAGGAGGTGCTGAACAGTTAGAGAGAGATGTTACTATATGCTGCAAAGAAAATCACAACCAAAGCACAAATGGACTGTAAAGAATAGGTCCAAAGTGCGAAGGATGTACTAAGATATCTGCTTTGTTTAGATTTGATTTTGAAGCTTTGAGCGTTACCGCCAAGGTTGTTGCATTCAAACTTGCAAAAATGATGAAAATGAATCTGCAATGAAGATGTCAGCAAGAAGTAAGCCAGGTAGCTGCATTAATTTTTTTCTTTTGATGACAGAAAACAGAGAAACCATTAAACATGGTAGAGAAGCCTGTGAAGAAGGCAATAAAACAGCAATTCATGAAAATGATAAAGCAAGTGATGTAATGCAATAGAATTTTTGAAAAGCAGGGTCAAGTGGTCAACTGCAACTCCTTCAAATGCTAAGGAATGCAGGAGCTGAGGGTGAAATATTGAAAGTTCATAAAGTTCCAAATATGGAAGCCTTTTTGACTAAAAGATAATAGTTCTAAATCCATTCATAAACATAAATGAAGCATGGAAGTGTTAATGTACACTAAAACTGTAAGAAAATGGAATACCATAGACTGTCTGTCTATGCTACATTCCAACTACTAAAGTAGAAACTTGAGATGAAAGAAACCTTCTCTAGGTTCAAAAAAAAAAAAAGAAAAAAAGAAAAAAAGAAAAATCTCTTTTATTCTAGTGCCGAACTCACTTTCATCAATGTTTTAAAAAGAATAGATTCAGACACATTTGATCAGCCGCAAAAAAGCCAGACGTGAGACATACTTGAATTAACTTTCAGAGTTTGAACAATTTATTTTCCACTAAGAAACACGAAAGAAGCAATGTTAACTTTACAGTAGCCCCTCTAGTTAAAATAGAGCTTAAAAATAGTAGCTGTATTTGTCAAATAGAAAAATTCCAATAATGGAAAAGCAAATGTTGATATACAATTATCCTGCTAACTACCTACTGCATCAACTGAATGAAGAATGATATCTTTTTTATTTTATATGTTAAATCGGAGAGTTAGTTGCTTAACATCGCAGATATTTGAATTTCAGACCTTAATCTCAAAAAAGGCTTTTAAGGGGGTACCAACTTATCCAAACTCTTGTTGGTATCAAGTGAATGATATCATAAATCTAAATGTTGCATTAAAGAGGCAAGCTACTTACACTATACTGCCCACGAATTTTTGAAACTTACGCAACAAGGGAGCACTGAATGAGTTAAATGATTCATATTATTTGATATTTCTTTGCAAGGAATAGAGAAACATTATAATTACTATTTCTAGCTAAAGAAAGATGCATAAAAGTATTTTTGTGAGATGAGTAGCTTAGTCTATAGCACCTGATAAACACTGCTGTAATTTCCTATTTCAAACCACCAGTAAATTTTTGTAGTTAGAGGATTTGGTGTATACATGATACACTTGCATTCTTAGGTACTATATTGATAAAAAACAATAATAATAAAGTCCTGTTTGATTGAAGAATCCGGGACTCAAGATAAAAACAATTTTCCATAAACTAGACAGATATTGAACAGGACTCCTAACCTTAAGCACTGATCTGAATGTTCAAGCCACATCCAAAAATGCAGGCCAAAGATGATGACATTTACTCGCTAGCATTTGTAATCCCTACCACACTGAGCACATTCCAGTCCTCCTTAAACCTTTCTAACACAGTACCTTTAGGAGCATCTTGTCTTTCTTCTTGTTTCCTTTCCTCACAATTCCCCAGCATTGTATCAGTTCTGGGCAGATTTTATTGTTTTTTGAAAGGCAAGGGCTGTTGGATGTTGTGCAAGAGAAAGTGTGTCCCTGATCAAAGCCTGCTGAGAGGAACATGGCCAAAGTGATTAACTCGCCCTCCAAACCCAATGCCATTCGGAATGGCCTCTGAACTGAAACTCACAGCACACTGCCAATTGGAAATTGTAAGCTACATAAGTCAGTTAAACAAAACAACAATAGGCCGTTGAACAACAATAATACTGAAGGCCAAGAATAAAGACAATAGGACTAAATGCATGAGTAAACATAAAACAAGGCATGGAAATGCTACTGTACACTAGAAGGAAATCGAATACCACCAATCATGGGAACTGGGTGCTACTTTCCAACTACTAAAATAGAAACTAGAGATAAAAGAAACGAGAGAAAAAAAAATCAACATTTTCAGGAAGAAAAAAAAAGAGTGTGAATGGTCAATTAAGGTGACAATAGAATTAAAGTTTCTTTTATTCCAGTGTCAAACCCACTTTCATCCAAGTTCAGACAGAGAAACCCTTGAATTAACTCCCAGTTTGAACAGTTAATAAGCCTATCAAATAAGCAATGATCCATTTTACAGTAGCCCTTCTAATTATAACAGAGCTTAAGAATTGCAGAAAAATTCCAATCGGGGAAAAGGAAAGGTTGAAATACAAATATCCTGGACTTGATACACCAACTAAGCGATATCATATATAAAGCTTTCCTACAAGGCTTAACTAATCACAGCAAGCTGAATAAAGAAAGAAAAGTGTGAGAACCATCATATAAAATTCATTGAAAGCAAACAAATAAACAATTCAAAAGCACATTTTGTTTCAGCAAAGTAGGAAAGCAAGCAGAAACATACCCATTGTAAATTGTTGTTGGTCCCAGTTGGTCTGAATATAGATGCCTTTGGATGGAGCTGAAAGAGAAAAGACTTCATATCTCCATAGAAATCCCTATGCCTCTCCCAAGGCTGGGAAGCATAACCCCCATATATATATCTTTCATTATCCTTAATAATCAAGACAGTTGGCCCATTATCATTTTTGCAGTTCAATTGAACAATTATCCATTCCACTCCTACTCAAAAAATAGTCCAGAAAGAGAAACTGAAATAAAATTAGCGAGGACTCAGCATTTACAGAGTGCAGCAGGAGCAGCCATGGGACGCTTCCGTACCAAGACGGTGAAGAAGTCATCTCGGCAAGTATCGAACGCTACTACTCGGGAATGACTCTTGATTTCCGCACCAACAAGAAGATATATACTTCGAGGAGGTTGCCATAATCCCTTCCAAGCGCCTTCGCAACCAGATTACCGGATTCTCGACCCATCTCATGAAGCGCATCCACAAGGGTCCGGTTCGGGGCATCTCGCTCAAGTTGCAGGACGAGGGGCGGGAGCGACGCATCGTCTTCGTCCCCGATGAATCCGCCATCAAGACGGATCACATCAAGCTCGATAAGGAGACGGCTGACATGCTCTCTGCTCTGGGTATGAGTGAACTTCCTAGGTTAGTAAGGGAAGATCCAATTGAAGCACTTATGAAGAGAATACTAGCGCGGGCAGCTACTGGGCATGAGAGAACTTCCGCAATGAAGATCGATTCAGGGCTTTTCCCTCTTTTTTTTTTTTTTTTTTAGGAGAAAATATATATTAATACAAATTAAGCAATTGGTAAAGTTCTTAGAACAAAGTTCTAATATGGTCTGAATACAACAAAATAGAGAGTTTAGAAGGACTCTTGTCCATCATAGCAAAATCAATATCGAATTTGGTACTGCATTTGCCTCCCAAAAGATGTGGTTGATCTGAAGGTTAGAAACTTGACCTATCAACAGTATGCAATCACAGATCAAAACGCTCAACAATTGCATTCATTTTAACACAAATACACAATTCAAGTGCTTTTTAGCAATTTTTTGATCAGTGTCCAAGATCAAACCCTGTCAAAATCCGGACGGTTTACTAACCTGTAAAAAATTTAGGTGAAAAAACTAAAATAGTATCATTTTTATTTTAAAGAGTATATTCTTTTAATTTTTTTAATAAAAATTTATTAAAAATATATCTTTT